ATGTTTAATTCGAAAAAATGTGTTATTAACTCGGTATGCGTTCTTGTAGAATGAACAAGCGAAGATCGAGCGTCACCTTGCAGAAGAAAACGTGAGAGCCAGGCAGGCGATGACCAGATCAGAGTATGTGAATGGATGAGCTTGTAGAATTATATGGAAGGAAAATTTCCATATTGCAAATTGGGGTCGATTTATCGCGTGTGCATAGGTTTCAATATTCATGGCAAAATATGTATATAACAGGATACAATGTACTAACCGTGTTGTTTTCCAGGACAACTGAGTCTCCACTTGTACCATATCTTCAGTCGAAGTAAGCATATCTGTATAAGGTCATAAAGAGAGGATTTTTTTTCTATAATTGGCAAAACCAGTTAAATTTATTAACTATGCATACATGGGCCTAATCTGCAATATTATTATTTCATTACGTAAAAGAGATAAATCAAATCTAAAAGGATCTATCTGTAGCCACAACGGTCATAAAATCGCTTGAAAATATGAATCTGTACCGAAATTCCACTCCGACACAGACCCGTCGATTGCGCGGATCACTTGCTGATGGGGAGCACGACCAGCGGTGTCTACGAGATCTACCCCTTTTCGTGAGTATGCTTGCAGGCTCCTCTCCAACCATAGACTGCACTGTACGTACATATGAATAGTACAGCCAATACAGACAGAGGCAGTGTCTGTGGTGGTTCAAGGCCAACAGAGTGGGATTTTCCCAACAAGAGATATTCTCTCTTGTCTTACATTCCGTATGGGATTAGATTCTCAAGAGGTTGAATGCGCGATTCTGAGTACCCTACACTGCTTGAGGGGGTACATCTAGAAGTATATAGGGTGTCATTTTATACTATTAGGAGCGTTCTTTGGCATTCTGCATGACTTGTAGTGTGTAAGTCCCGAGGAGGCCTTTAATTTAACTTGTAAATGCAAGGTAATATCAACTTGTCCCAGGTGCTCATGCAGCGAGCCCGTGAGGGTGTGGTGTGACATGGAGACCGACGGCGGCGGATGGACTGTCTTCATGGCCAGGCAGAGGCAGACGCCCCAGGTGAACTTCAACCGGTCCTGGACGGAGTATAGGGCAGGCTTTGGTGACGCTGAAGGAGAGTTCTGGCTCGGTACGTTTCCCTCGTGTGGGTCGTGGAATCAGCTCCCTTTCGAAGGTAGCTTTTGCTTTGGTCATTATTTCACTGAATTTGATGTCATGTGCCTCGTTGCAGGAAATGAAATGCTGCACAGGATAACCTCGAGCAGGAAGTATTCACTCCGTGTGGACTTCACTCTCTCGAACCAGATTGAGCAGTTTGCCGAGTGGGATCAATTCAAGCTCCTCGATGAAAGGAACAAGTGAGTCGAGTTAACCCTTTTTCCATAGCAATGAACTCTAGGCTGAAAATATATCCTGAACATTGAAAACTAGCAATTCTTTATTACGCGTTTCGTGCCTTTTCTTTTATAGGTACAGAATGGATCTAGACAATTATTTGTCATACAGTACAGCATATTCAAATTGTCTAAGTTATATGGACAATCGGTACTTTACTACATACGACCGTGACTACGATTACAGTTCAGGTAGGTTGTTTCTTAGAAATGTCCAATTAATACCTAGAGTAACTCATTTTTGTTCCATTATCACCAGGGTTGTTTTCGTAATATTGCCCCCGTTGAAAGAATACCGACTATAGTACAGAGCTAAACTGCTTGATACCTTTTAAGGGAGGGAAGAAAGAAGTTGTTGAGGCTATGGCCCTAAAATCACGCCAGTCAATTCATCACAGCATGGCTTTCTTCCCAAGGAAATTGTGCTGCTACAATCGGCGGTGGCTGGTGGACCTACAATTGCCGTTACATGCACCTAACAGGCATCTACGAGCAAGGCCTGAACGTCACCTGCAGTAGCCAGCGCTTACAAATCTCTCACGCACAGATGAAGATTCGCCCCGCCATCTGCAGTGAACCGTTCAAGAGAATTTCGCTGAACAACTACCAGTGCGGGAATGCGTGTGTCTAGGCGTGGAGAGGTCCCTTTGCCTGAGCAGCTGATGGATTTTCTTAGCGGAAACGTTTTAGCTGTATCTACGAGCTTATGTAATCTTCGGCAATGATTGACTCAAAATTTGACTCAAAATGTGATTCAGAAGCACCCTTAGAAAGTAAAGTAAAGAAAGAAACGTTTATAATCTAAATTCTAAATTCAGTCGTTCAGTCTGAGGAATAAAATTGGCAAAATATGTTTGTTTTTTTTCATATTTTTTTTCAACTCTATGACGTTTTTTTCCTAAACAGATAGACTTATATATATGCAGGAAAATTATGTGATACTAAGATCACCTTCAAGTTACTTACAGGTGACAAAAAAAAAAAATTGTCTTAAGCAGATTAATAGTTAAGTGCTACAGATCCTGACGTATGTCAAGGAAGAGTGAAAAACTTCTGAAACAGTCTAAACAGAGAATGTAGAAAGAGGGCGTATACATAAACATACCCACATGTTTATTCATGTGTTTACATGTGTGTTTAAAAAGGGCCAAAGTTTACCATGCGATATCTCCATTGGCATTATGTATTTATCTATCTATCTATCTATGTGTGTGTGTGTGTGAGTGTGTGTGTGTGTGTGTGTGTGTGTGTGTGTGTGTGTGTGTGTGTGTGTGTGTGTGTGTGTGTGTGTGTGTGTGTGTGTGTATGTGTGTGTGTGTGTGTGTGTGTATGCACTAACAATTGCGTGCAACATCTATACCTTAATATCATTATCATAACCGAAATATATTCCCTTAGTTTTCTGAGCATATAATGAATTTGGACGAAAGTAGTGGTCCTCCATAAATATTCCCGCAATGCTATCGATTGTATAACTATCAAGCTTCTGCTGATTCTCCCCTGCTCACTTTAAGCATCTGATTCTCTGATCTCCTCAGCGAAATGGAATTCCAGTACTTTAGAAAAATGTCTATACTGCACTGTATAAGTGAAGGTAAACCTCATGTGACACAAACAGATGAAATGTTAAATACATAATAGGCTCTAATTGGATAGATAAATTTGAATGAGTGTGTGAGAGAGAGAGAGAGAGAGAGAGAGAGAGAGAGAGAGAGAGAGAGAGAGAGAGAGAGAGAGAGAGAGAGAGAGAGAGAGAGAGTGAAAGAGAGTGAAAGAGAGAGAGAGAGAGAGGGACAGAAAGAGAACGAGAGAAAAATTTGAATGAGTAAGAGAGAGAGAAAGAGAACGAGAGAAAAATTTGAATGAGTGAAAGAGAGAGAGAAAAAGAGAGAAGAAATTGAATGAGTGAGAGAGAGAGAGAGAGGGAGAGAAAGAGTGGGTGAAAGAGAGGGAGAGAGAGAGAAATCGATACTTTAGAAAAATGTCTATACTGCACTGTATAAGTGAAGGTAATCCTCATGTGACACAAACAAATGAAATGTTAAATACATAATAGGCTCTAATTGGCTAGATAAATTTGAATGAGTGAGAGAGAGAGAGAGAGACAGACAGACAGAGACAGAGAGACAAAGAGAGAGAGAGAGAGAGAGAGAGAGAGAGAGAGAGAGAGAGAAGGGGGATCGAGAGAAAGATAGATAGATAGAGAGAGAGAGAGAGAAAGAAAGAGGATGATATCAATAATGATGCCATACGAATGTTTATCGATATCGCCTTACTTACCTGAAGTACTTGGTAATGAATGTGAAATATATATTGATACACATGTTTGTGGAACATTGGCATAGATCTCACGCATAAGATACTGAATTAAATCTATACAAAGTTCGCAGAATATATCTCAAATATAGCTTTGCGTTCATGAAGTCCCGCAAACTACCTATAATCAAGGTAAATATAAAAGTATTTACACATAATCATAGCAAGCAAATACATATTTACATATCAAATACAAATCTAACAAACACGCTTTCCTGAATACTCATAATCAACGACACTTAAGGTATTCCATTAGGCTAAGTAGAACGGTATAAAGGTATAAAAACAAGCGACACGGCTTCTATAAGTACATTTTCATTTAGCACCAACGTTATCTTGTCGCTCAGATAAATTTCCCTACGTTGAGGTAATGTATTTTGTTTCCAAAGTTCTCAGTACGTCAAACATTTTTAGTAGGTTGTAATACCAATATAATAATATAATGTAATATAATGTATAATATAATATAATGTAATATCATTATAATGTAATATCACTGGAATGTAATTTCTAAGGAGGGGGGGGGGGACTAATCTTGAAAGGATAGGAATTTTAGGATGAGAAAAAAAAAAACACGCAGCGAATTCCAAACTTCGAAGAATGGGATTTCCAGGATAAAAAAAAAATCAGCTATATCTCACTGTTAGCACCGCTTACAGTTTGTACTATTTACAAGAATAAAAGCTTTGCTGTGAAAGAAAGTTTTCTTGTTATAGTCTACTTGCCATTTATTACATATTAGATCCATAAAAAATAACATGGAAATTTAGCTCTCATTAAATTTATACCCGGCGATTTTCAGCTATAGTTTTCTTATTTATTATCATCTTACCTCTTCCTCCCTCTTTTTCTTCTACTATTTCTTCTCCTCCTCCTCCTCCTTCTTTTCTTTCTGCTTCTTCTTTTACTTCATTTTCTTCTTCTTCTTCTTCTTCTACTGCTACTTCTTCCTCTTCTCCTCCTCCCCTCCTTCATTTTCTTCTCCTTCTACTCCTCCTCCTTCTCCTCCCCCTCCTCCTCCTTCTTTTTCATCTTTTTCTTCTCCTCCTCCTTCTTCTTCTTCTTCTTCTTCTTCTTCCTCCTCCTCCTCCTCTTCTTCTCCTCCTCCTCCTCCTCCCCCTCCTTCTTTTTCTTCATCTTCTTCTTTTCCTCTCCCTCCCCTTCCTCCTTCTTCTTCTTCATCTTCTTCTTCTTCTCTTCCTCCTCCTCCTTCTTCTTCTCTTTCTCCTTACGAAGACAAAAAAGTCCTACGTCTCTCACTGCCCACTCCTTCCTCAGGTTCACAACATCGAGGGCGTGATGAGGACTCTGTGGGCGTGTGTGTTTGCGAGCGTTGCTCTGTTCGCTGCTGTGTCGGACCAGGTAGTGTTTATGCCTTATTTCTTCTGTATTGTTGTTCATTATTATCTTTGTTGTTGCTTTTTATACTGCTTTTGTCCTTATTCTTATTTTTATTGTTGTTATCATTATTATATTTGTTATTATTATCATTATTGTTTCTTGTTATCTTTAATATTATCATCAATATTATAATAATTATTATCAGTATTGTTATTTATCACTATTAGTACTCTTTATCATTGTCAATATATACAATTTATCATTTATTGTTTATTTATCATTTACAATTTCTTATATTCTCTTACTTATTTTGCAATTATTTTTCTGTATTTCCCCGAGAGTTTATTTTTTCTCTCTCTCTCTTTCTCCAGAAGGAAACAGTGGCAGAGGTACCTAGCGAGAGCAAGTCAGCCGGATTTACTGAGGGAGAGATCATATCGACGAATGGAAAAGAGTAACCCGTTTGACATTTACTTCGAATGGTCTAGATTACTGTTTAATACGAGGATGTGTATCTATTCCTTTATCTGTTCAATTCTTTGTAGTAAAATATATTCTTTTTTTTTCAGGACGACCGGAGCACCATTTCGACTAAAGTAAGCAGACACTGTATCATGATTTCCTAGAATGAAAATACTTATTGTCTTTAAAAATAGTCTGTAGTATTTACCAATTAGTGTTTGGTAGAGACAGCTTCTGGATTCGGAATGGTTCTATATGTAGTCACGAGACAGTTGATAAAACTGCTTGAGACATGAAATTATAACGAACCTTCCACTCCGATACAGACCCGTCGACTGCGCGGATCACTTGCTGATGGGGAGCACGACCAGCGGTGTCTACGAGATCTACCCCTTTTCGTGAGTATGCTTGCCAGCCGAATATCTTGTTACCTCTCCTCTCCAACCACTGATCAATTTAGACAGGTTACTCGGTGAATATAAACTTGTAGTGACAGTCTTAGAGGGGGGTCCTGGGGTGCATATATTTTGAATGTTATGTCGACTCATGCCAGGTCCTTATGGCTGTAATGACATGTTCCGTTTTGCCTGTGATTTGTAATTATAGCGTCAACTTGCGACAGCTCATTGTAGTCGTAGCATTTTGTCAACTTGTGCCAGGTGCTCATGCAGCGAGCCCGTGAGGGTGTGGTGTGACATGGAGACCGACGGCGGCGGATGGACTGTCTTCATGACCAGGCAGAGGCAGACGCCTCAGGTGAACTTCAACCGATCCTGGACGGAGTATAGGACAGGCTTTGGCGACGCTGAAGGAGAGTTCTGGCTCGGTACGTTTCCCTCGTGTGGATCGTGGAACCAGCTCCCTTTCGTGTAGTAGAATTTTTTTTTCTTCAGCTACTATTACTCTGACTTTGATACTATGTGGTGTGTTGCAGGAAACGAAATGATGCACAGGATAACCTCGAGCAGGACGTACTCTCTCCGTGTGGACTTCACTCTCACGAGACAGGGTCAGAAGTTCGCCGAGTGGGAAGAATTCAGGCTTGACGATGAGAGGAACAAGTGAGGCGATTTATCCCTTTCTCATAATAATGGAAACCAGACTGATTATATATTTTTTAGACCACCAACTCCTTAATTACGTATTACAAATGCAATTCACATTCCAGATATAAAATTAACCTACAGGATTATTTGCCATGGAGTACAGCACAAACTAACTGTCTGACTTCCATGAATAACCGCTTTTTTACTACATACGACCGTGACTACGATTATCACGTAGGTAGGTCACTTCTTGGAATTGTTCTTATACTCTTTGGGAACGACACAGCCTGGTAAAGGGATATCGTTCATGAATTCACTGATAAACTGTTTAATTATGCATAAAACTCCCTTTCTTCCTCTCTCTTTCCCTCTCTCCCTCCCTCCCTCTTCTCTAGATCACATATTGAACGGAATACGAAGCTACTACTCCTCTTGTCTTCGAACTGTGTCATAAAAATCACCTTTATCAAAACACCTCTTAATCCCAGGTAACTGCGCTGCCACAATCGGCGGTGGCTGGTGGGTCAACAACTGTCGCTACATGCACTTAACTGGCGTCTACGAACAAGGCCTGAACACCAGCTGTACCGGCACCCGCGTTCAGGTCTCCCGCGCGCAGATGAAGATCCGACCCGCCGTCTGCACCGAAGCTCTCAGGAGGATTTCGCTCGACAGTCACCAGTGCGGGACATGCGTGTAGGCGTTAGTGCGGTGCCGTATGTCATCCAAAATGGGTGTTTCGAGATCACTACACTACTTAGGGTGTGGTTGTTTTGACCGATCAGCTGATGGACTTTCTTTGGCACTGACTTTTTTTCTTTTTTTTCTTTTTTTTTTTGTAAGATGTATCGACAAGCTTCTACAATCTTTGACGAAATTGAAGCTTATCTGACCTTGATGGGTTTTCTATAGCGAAAACTTTTACTCTATATTCATGATTATTATTATTATTATTATTATTATTATTATTATTACTATTATTATTATTATTATTATTATTATCATTATTACCATTAATCATTATCATTATCATTATCATTATTAATCATTAATCATTATCATTATCATTATTATCATTATCATTATTAATCATTAATCATTATCATTATTACCATTAATCATTATCATTATTACCATTAATCATTATCATTATTAATCATTAATCATTATCATTATCATTATCATTATATCATTAATCATTATCATTATTATCATAATCATTATCATTATCATTATCATTATTACCATTAACATTATCATTATTACTATTAACATTATTGCCATTATCATTATTACCATTATCATTATCATTATCATTATTATCATTATCATTATCATTGTCATTATTATCATTAATCATTATCATCATTAATCATTAATCATTATCATTATCATTATTATCATAATCATTATCATTATTACCATTAATCATTATCATTATTAATCATTAATCATTATCATTATTATCATAATCATTATCATTATATCATTAATCATTATCATTATTATCATTATCATTATCATTATTATCATTAATCATATCATTATTATCATAATCATTATCATTATCATTATTATCATAATCATTATCATTGTTATCATAATCATTATCATTATTATCATAATCATTATTATTATTATCATAATCATTATCATTATTATCATAATCATTATCATTATCATTATTACCATTAATCATTATCATTATATCATTAATCATTATCATTATATCATTAATCATTATCATTATATCATTAATCATTATCATTATATCATTAATCATTATCATTATCATTATTAATCATTAATCATTATCATTATCATTATTACCATTAATCATTATCATTATTATCATAATCATTATCATTATTATCATTATCATTATCATTATTACCATTAATCATTATCATTATCATTATCATTATTATCATTAATCATTATCATTATTATCATTATCATTATTATCATTAATCATTATCATTATATCATTAATCATTATCATTATCATTATTACCATTAATCATTATCATTATTATCATAATCATTGTCATTATCATTATCATTATTACCATTAATCATTATCATTATTAATCATTAATCATTATCATTATTAATCATTAATCATTATCATTATATCATTAATCATTATCATTATCATTATTATCATTAATCATTATCATTATCATTATCATTATTACCATTAATCATTATCATTATATCATTAATCATTATCATTATTACCATTAATCATTATCATTATATCATTAATCATTATCATTATTACCATTAATCATTATCATTATTATCATAATCATTATCATTATCATTATCATTATTACCATTAATCATTATCATTATTACCATTAATCATTATCATTATCATTATTATCATTAATCATTATCATTATTATCATTATCATCTTATTATCATTATCATTATCATTATTATCATAATCATTATCATTATCATTATTACCATTAATCATTATCATTATTACCATTAATCATTATCATTATTAATCATTAATCATTATCATTATTAATCATTAATCATTATCATTATCATTATCATTATCATTATTATCATAATCATTATCATTATTAATCATTAATCATTATCATTATTAATCATTAATCATTATCATTATCATTATCATTATCATTATTATCATAATCATTATCATTATCATTATTATCATTATCATTATTATCATTAATCATTATCATTATTATCATTAATCATTATCATTATTATCATTAATCATTATCAGTATTACCATTAATCATTATCATTATTATCATTAATCATTATCATTATCATTATTATCATTAATCATTATCATTATTATCATTAATCATTATCATTATTATCATTAATCATTATCATTATTACCATTAATCATTATCATTATTATCATTAATCATTATCATTATTATCACTAATTATTATTATTATCATTAATCATTATCATTATTACCATTAATCATTATCATTATTATCATTAATCATTATCATTATTATCATTAATCATTATCATTATTATCATTAATCATTATCATTATTATCATTAATCATTATCATTATTATCAGTATCATTACCATTATCATTACCAATATTATTACTATCATTGATATAATTTTAACATTATCATTATTATTAATACTGTTATTATTTTAATTATTATTCGTATTGTTATTATTGTTATCATTATCATTATTATCATTACTATGATTATTATTATTATTATATTTTTCTTCACGAAGCTTAGCTCTTATACCCAAAGGTTTCCAGCTCGTCCTTCTCCTTCTGCTGCCAATACTTTCTTCTAAGGATCCTAGCAGTCCCAAGTAGTGCTGTTTTTTTCATTACTTCCAACCTGATACCTTCATCACATTATTATTATTGTTATTATTATTATTTTATATTATTATTATTATTATTATTATTATTATTATTATTGTTATTATTATTGATATTATGATCTTTAACATTATTATTATTATTGATATTATTATTGATATCATTACTATTATTATTACTATTACTATTGCTATCATTATTATCATTATAATCATCATTATTAACATTATAATTATCATTATTCTTATTATCATTACTGATATTGTTATTTCATCATCATTTTCTAAAACCATTATTATCATCATTATTATTACTATCATTATCATTACTAGTATTATTATCATTATTATCATTATTACTATTATTATTATCATCAGTGTTATTATGAATATTATCATTATCATTACTATTATTATTGCTGTCGTTGTTACGATTTTTTTATTATAACCACTATTACCAATAATAATAATTTTCATCACCACCTTCACTCTCATTTTCATTTACAATTAGCGTTTTCATAATTATCTTCTGTGACCTTCATTACTATTGCTATAAATACAATTATCATATCATGACAGTGGTATTAATACATTACGTTTTTATCTATTTGTTTATTCATTTACTTTACTTGTTTTATCTATGAGATCCAATGATCTCAAAATAATGATCAATGATGGGATTATGTAATTTTACTATATATCTATGTCTATCTTTTATTTCAAAATCAAACCATGCTTTTATTTAAAAATAACAACAACATTATATCCACCTACATATCTTTAGATTGAATGTGAGACTGAATTATATTGAGTTGATTATCATTATCATCCCTAGATTCAAACTACATTTTCCCCGACAGATGGCAGCACCTGTCATGTAAACAAACGGACGGCGGGCATTTCAATAGATTTTACTTCTACGTCCATCTTTTCTGCATTTGTTCAAGGTACGGTGTGATATCAGGTAATATGTTATATGTATTTCATAGATTTATGTTTTATTCTTTGATCGTGTAAGAAATTAGTGTAATGGTACTTTACGTGAGTATTTTATTTCATTACGAAGTGGCAGAGATTCGTGTATGTCGTAAAGAATGTCTATAATCTTTATATTTTCATCAGGTTGCACTTGAAATTAGTGTACTTGTTTGTGTTTCACTCTCAGGTGGCTAAATGTTCTTCGTATCAGAGGTGTTTCTGATGTATAGTCTTTGGATACTCATGCAGGAAGGTGTGACAGAAGGCTAGTGATAATGCTGGAATGTTGACTGTCATGTCAAGGCTTTCAACAGCTTGATTTCACTTGTAATAAGTTTTATGTGTGTGTTTCCTTATTTATATATTGTATAGTGTAGCAGTCTGTTCGTTTCGGTTGAACTATAGCTCTTACCGGAGCCTGATATTCAGTTACTGTTTGCATATTGTTTGTTTGTGACATCAAGAATGATTATTTCCATTCAGTTAAGTGCCTGCAGGCTTAAAAGAGGGACATGGCATCCATCAAAGTTGCTTATAGTGAATAGTTCAAAAGCAGATATTATTCTATAATCATTGTTATTGGGGGGGGGGAGAGCTTGATAAATGTTTGGGTGACTAATATGGTATATATTGAAGAGATAGGATGGGGTCATGTTTAATTAATATTTTTTGTAATATTCTACTGGCAGTATTTATATGAGTTTCTTGTATTTAGTATTGATATTGATAATACAGTTCCTGAATACATATCCATAATACAAAATGAAAGCCATAGAGTACAGCTGCATAGACCAAAGTAAAAAATAGATTGAAGACTTTAAGAGAAAACATAGTTAAAATTTATTTATTTACTCATTCTTATCACCATGTATGCAAATGATTCTGAATATACCACGGACTGATTGTCAAGTTCATACATCATGAACTTGATAATCAGTCTGTGATGTATTTACATTTAGGTAACACAACAAACCATGATCTTTTCCTAAGAGGTATGTTGAGAAATCTTTTTTTTCTTCATCTATTTCCAGTTATGATTATGAATGTACTGCAATGAGATATTAAAGTATCTTTTATCTTTGCTATTATCCAAGATTAAGAAAAGCTTCCACTGTATTTTTTCAGTAGAAAACACTACCCTAGTCTTTTTGAATTTGTGACAAATTTTGTTATTACAATAGTTTTATTAATATTACAATGAATATATTAGTTTAGTAATTTTATTACATCCATTGTTAGATATTTTTCCTCTCAGCTTTATACAGTCTGTTGTTGCTCAGGCTAATGAAACTGTATTGATTTTTGTCATCACTGTTTTGTTATCACTTTTTTATCATTAAAAAATGTAAGGATTCTCAGTATAAAAGAGGAAGTAAATAATTAAGATAGGAGAACTCTTTATTGTCAAAAACACAAACACATGTGATAATCACTCTCAGGAACAAACACACATAATCTCTAGACACATTGCTTCTCACATTTTCTTCATCTTTTTTAATTATTGTCTGATTAAACTATAATTCTAAAGTATAATTGAACTCCCATCTGTTTTTAGTAAATAGTGTATACTGAAATGCTGCCT